TTTGTTATATTTCTAATGTATTGTTATTTAATTTTTTTATTTATTTTTTCTAAGTTAAAGGCAAAAATGTAATTCTGGACGTTTATTGTAAATATCATTTATTATAATTTATATGTTATCATTTATGTACCTTTTTATTTAGTTAGTTTTGCACCAGTGAGATCGACGACTACCTTATTTATTCAAAGAAGTGTTTGGCCGTCTCTTGATAGTATCCTCCCCGTTGCTAGCAATGTCAGACAGGCGTCCAGGAGTTAGTGCTGAGGTAAACAAGGACAATTGAAAGGCGTTGCGAATGGCCCGGTCCAAGTGAGCCATAATAAATCTCGTTTGAAGGTGAAAGCAAATGGCACAGAGCGTTTGAAGCTACCTACATTGTGCCCGCGGTTATTAAAAGATTTGTTTCCCACCAAGTCAGCCACGATGAGCTGGAAGTTTTATGTATGGGTCTGTGTCATACGGGATAATAACCTCACACACGGACGACTGGGAGAGGCCATTCTTTTCTTCTCTGTCAGACTCTTTATTCCATTCCATTACTCAGAGAGACTAAGCCAAAATCTAGTGAGCTGCTTGCTGTCTACTGCCTTCATAGGGAGCTGCCTTCTAAGGGAACATCCCGACTGAAATGAAACCACCTTAATCAAGCGATTCAAGCGAGGAGACTCGAAAATGCTACTGAGGTTATAATTTAATACATATGCATAAGATACATTCATATTAGGCAAAATAGTCCATTTTTAAATTATATGAACCTTAGTAATGAATGAATCAGAATGAATCACTGTCAATCAGCTGAAATTGATAGTCAAATTAATTACATGATATGCTGATTAGTTAATCATTCCAGTTTAAGCAGGCACTAAATGTGCCGAATTAATGTTGTGCATGTTTAATTGAAGTCATTGTCATTCTTTCCAGCACAAACACGTCTCCTTCATATGTAAATTAAGCTCATTATATGTTGCACCTTATTCACAGAAGTCTGTGCTGTTTGACTGATGCAATTAAAGTATGCTAAATCATGAAATTAATCACAGTAAATCAATATTTATTGATTTATAGAAGACATTATTATTATATTGGCAGAAGAAAACATTGAATAGGCATAAAATGAAGAAGCTGGTATTGAATTGCTCCAGTGATTTTTTTATTTTTTTCCCCACAATGCATTACTGCCTTGGGAAAGCTAGCGTGTCTCCGACATAGTGATAACACTCGTTGCCTTCTCTAGTGCAGCTCAACCAGGTCTCGTCCCATTCGTCGGTATTTGTGATATCACAAATCCCGGAAAATATGCGTTGTAGTCCAAACGAGTCGTTCGTTGTAGTTTTTGAAAAGTGATTTCTCTTAAATAAAAGATCTCATTTTGAAGTGCACTTTGAGCTTTGTAACTTTGCAGATCTTTTTTTATGCTCAAACAGCAACATTACAGACTAACTAAAGTTGAAAAAGTGAAATAAGCATAATAGGACCCCTTTAACTAGCAGTCATACATTTTTAATTTCTTTCTCCAAATTATTACAAAATTTTTAGCTTCACATTGCAGTGATTTATGATTTTTTTTTTCACATATAAAAATTTGAAAGTTGTCCTTTTCATTGTGTTGCACGCCTGCCGTGCCTTGAAATGTTGCATATGTAGGCAGCTCATTAGCTTTTGGAGCAGATCCAGACGGTCGACACATACAAGTGAAGCACAAAGACACTGGACAATATAAGATTCACAAGCAAGAAGGCTTTCTCATAATGAGAGCTGCATTTTACTGGGCTGCACTGAAGATGGGCGTCATGTCACCTTCACCCTCACAGATGGGTGGTTTGATGTCGACAAAATGCGAGCGTGCCACATTGCAGCGCTGCTTCCAGCAGGTTGTTTGCTCATGGCTCAGAGCTCCTTTGCCCCTGTCTGCTGTTGCTAACACCTGGTCCGGGCTGGCCCTCTCCACGGGTTGGCCTGTTTTGTGTTTCCTAGAGCCAGGCATTGGCCCACTACAAAGGCACCAAACATGCCAAGAAGCTGAAATCCTTGGACGCTCCGAAATGCCTCAAACACAAGAGTTCCCTGGTCACCAAGGAAAATACCAACAAGGAGCCGCCTAAGGGCCTCTCTCCCTCCACAGCAGCCAGCAACACTGACAGAAAGGGTAAGAGGAGAAACGTTTTCTCATGTTTACAAGCATCGATCGTGATTGCTGCTCATACCCTAAAGTGTTAGACTTCAGTATGAATCTCGTCTTGAACTGTTTGTGCTAAACATATATGATACAGAAAGCAGAGTGTGTGAAAAGAAAGTGTCTTTGTAGGTGAAAGAAAGCTGTTGCAACAATTTTGCATGCAATCTCAGTGAAAGAACCTGTGTCTTATGAGAGACAAAGTAATTATAATGTTAATAAAAAATACTGCAAACACAATGCATGTAAACAACGTAAAAAAAAAAAAAAAAAAAAACTTTTTTCAAAGGTTGGCAGACAATAAAATGGCAAAAAGGTGTGGTCACATTTATTTTCGTTCAGCAAAACAAATTTTTTTTGCATGCAATCCCAGCAAAAGAACCTGCATCTTATTGGAGACAAAATTATTTATATACAGTAGTTAATAAAAAATACTGTAGACATAATGCATGTAAATAAAACTAAATCAAATTAATTATTTCAAAGAATGGTGTACAATAAAATGGCAAAAAAGATGCAGTTACACTTTTTGGAGTTGAAATGATGATTCATATAGTTAATAAAAAATAATGCAAACACAATGCATGTAAACAAAATTAAGTAAAATAAATAAATAAAGATTGGCAGAAAATAAAGTAGCAAAAAAAAAATCATAGAAATAAGGTGTGGGCGCAGTTACAGTTACCGTGCAAGAAAGCACGACAAAATGAATGATACAGGAATAAATAACAAATTAAACATCCAATGATATACTGCTGGCTAGCAAATAAATCAACTCTAAATAAAGGATGATTTATTTAAAAAAAAATCTGCAATGGGGATAAAGGTTAAGGTCATGATTTTTCGGTAGAGTTACAGCACACTGCTAGCGAATGTTAGCACCATTTTTTTGGTTTGCTAAGGCATCTAATAGAGCGTTTGGACCCAGAAACAGTGGTGTGTGATGTCAGGCTTAACAACGGATTGGTCGGCATTGCAAATGCGTGTGTCAAAGTTCACCAGACTTGAAGTTGGAATGAGTAGAGGAAATTCTTTCCACAGGAAACTCAATTAGGCGAAATTCTTCATTGCGCCAATTGCCGCAATGCTCACGAGATGTGCATGTGACCACACCTTTATTTTTGAGCCATATCTAAAGACCAGCAGCTCGTTACAAGCATCACTGTAAGTTACTGCAGTGGTTCCCAACCCTGGTCCTGGAGGTACCCCAACACTGCATGTTTTGCATGTCTCCTTAATCAAACACACCTGATTCAGATCATCAGCTCATTAGTAGAGACTCCAAGACCTGAAATTGGTGTGTCAGAGAAAGGAGACATGCAAGATGTGCAGTGTTGGGGTGCCTCCGGGACCAGGGTTGGGAACCACTGAGTTACTGTATACTTTCTTGCAATTGGGCCCATAATATCATATTGAACTGAGGGTTACTTGTGCCAGTAAGAAACCACCCAGCATTGTATTGACAAGTTTTGCACGCACAAAGAGCACTCAGAAAAAATGTAAGATTCTGTTTGAAGTTCTGCTATTTATTGCCTTTTTGTGCTACAGAAGAAACATTCATCAGATTTCCCTGGACAACCCTTACGAAAAAGAAGTTTATTCAAGTGTGCTATTAGTATACTTCTTTTAAACTAAAAATAGGAAAGTATACTTTTAGTCTACTTTTTATGTACTTCTCAGAAATGGGCTTTATGTACTTCTCAGAAATATACTTAAAATGACATTTAAGTAACAGAATTTCCAAGTGAAGAAGAAACCGAAACAACAGATGCTTCCACATGTATTCTAACACGATCATCAGGATCATCAGGC